CGCTATTTTCTGCTATCCTCGATCTTCTGAAGGGCCAGAGGTTTTGATGTGTGCCTCAAACTCCACGTTCTGACCCTCCCCACCACCCTGTCACAGCGGGACGAGTGATGGGCACACGGGACACGCGAGGAGCAAGGCAGCACGCGCAGCCGTGCCAGACCAGGAAGCCAACGCCTCTCCCCATTATCAGGCTTGTGATGAAGCTCTTGAGGGCTTGGGAAAATCCAAAGAGAAGATTTTTGTTCTTAGGAGCAAGGCACGCGCAGCCGTGCCAGACCAGGAAGCCAACGCCTCTCCCCATTATCAGGCTTGTGATGAAGCTCTTGAGGGCTTGGGAAAATCCAAAGAGAAGATTTTTGTTCTTTCCAAGACAGGCATGTTTCTTACATGGGATCCGGGCACCTGGACAGCACAGCACTTGGGAACCCATTTGGGATTTAGGAAGTCTCTGTCAGGAAATACAGAAATACAGGCAGCACATCAAAGCTGCTTTCTGCCGTGCCCCTACTTGGGTATTTCACTTTTCTGTGAGCCACAGGCAGTCCCTGAAACTCATGGCAGGGTGGAAAAGCCTTGTGAGATTTGCCAATACCAGTTAAAAAAAAACTATTCCCTCATCAGCAGGCTTTCATCTGACATGCTAATTCTAAAAATCTGCCTTCCAACAGTTCAGCTTTGCTTCAGTGAATGTCTCACCAAGCCCCTTCTAATAAATATCATTTATGATTTCTATGACACACTTGTTTTGCAGTGAAATTGTGGAGGTAAGGAACACTGGGTTGATTGACACCTAGTTATTCAATCAAACATACTCCTATTCTGCTAGTCACAGACCACACATGCCAAATTTGATGCTGAAACAACTTTTATTAGGCATTTTGGAGGGGGCTCGGGAAGAAAATCAGTCTTGTAATGAAAATCTTAACTATGTTGCAGCTACTGCAGCACCATAATACTATTTTCTCTCCTGCTAGCAATTTAGCAGCAACAGTACTGAACACCAGAGGACTTTCCTATGGAGGGAGCGATAACAGCACACATTTACTGAGAGGGTGGGGGGTTGGTTTCTTAACAATGGAAGTATACACAGATGGATTTGGTAGTTCTCAGCTGGTGAGCAAATTTTCAGCTATAACTCATTGTGCCTCTTTGGGTGGGAAAAATGGATTTCAAGTAAGTATTCCTTTCTGGGTCTGTGAAAGATATAATGCAGGCAAGCTGAGTGGCAAATTTAGAAGGCAAAAATAGTCACTCCACATCATATGATGCTGAAGCTAAGTAGTGCTGGGAGCTGAGACACAGGCCACAATGCATTCATGTAAGGCAGTAGTTTACTTTCTCAGGAAAAATATTTGTTCTAAAGCTGAAACGACATTTTATAAGATGTTTCTTCTGAAGAGTGGGGACATGAAAATATCTTCATCATAGCTTAGAAATGGATGAAGGCTCAACAGAGTTTCCAGAGAACCTATTTCTTTACCCCATCCCCTCTCTCCTAAGACACTAGCAGTTTTCGATGAGAGGGTTTAGTCCAGATCTCTCTCTCTCTCAGTAACAGGATCTCAGGGACATTCTGCAAACTTTGTAAAATAGCCATAGGCAAGCCAAGACAAGCAAGTCCCTTAACTGGCTGTTATGCCAACCAGTGATCAAATCAAAGAGTTTTCTGACAACTACCATTTCAGATTATTTGGGGAATGATTCGGGTGCCTAAGCCAAAGCATCCAGGCTTTAGAGACCCCAGGCAATATGAATAATCCACATTGTGGCTGACAACACCTAATGGAGACCTCCACCCTTATAAGCCAAGTAGCTGGAGCACAGGCAGTGAACCTTATGGCAATTTAAATTACTTTAGACATTTCTGGTTTGGCACCTGAATTACTCTGCTGGTGTTTGCAGATCACAGCAGAGTGCTTTCTTCTTTCTGTATCCTCGCCTTGTACAAGGGGATGTGATATTGGGAACCTGAGAAGTGGCAGCTACCCTTAGGTATAGAAGGGCATTTAGTTATAACTCTTCAGCTGCCATCTCTAACAGTAGAAGGGCGTCTGGGCTCTAAAGTCCCAAAACAACACCAAGCACCTCCTTTACCCAAAAATCTTCTCTCCCTCCCTCAAGAGTCTTAGCAATGTCCTTTCGTTTTAATAAGAAGGCGAATCAGAACCCCTTGTAAATGTTGTAGTAGCTCAGCCTCAAAGGCCTCCTCTGATAGTTCATAGTTTTGCTCTTAAACCTGTGTCTCTTTTTGCAGATTCCTCACTGCATTTCACCCCAACTTTTGTCCTTCTCTGAACTTTGCTGAGTTTTGGGAGGTGCTCAGTAGACCAAACAGGCAATTTCTTCTGCCATGAAGGAACTAGACCTTTCAGAAATTTTTAAGAAGATCATTATTCAAGCTTCCCAGATAACTATTTCTGTCTTGGGTTTCAAGAGCAATTTATTCATTGAGCTTAACCTTATTCCCATTGCAGCCAGGCCTCACAGATACTCTGCGGGTTTTATTCTGTTTAGTTTCTCATGTTATTTCCAGAAATTACTTGTAGTTCTTATTTCTATTACTGTGAAAACCCACTTATTTTGGTCAAACTAACAGAAAATTAATTTAAAAACAAAACTTTTTATGGTTTGGGGCTGGTGGTTATTATTATTATTATTATAACAACACTATA